GGGCCTCTAATTTTAATTAAAAACAAAAAAGGCCACATGACATTGCCTCTTTTTTATAACATAGGCACGGGGCTGGTTTCGTTATAGAATAACTCGATTAACCAAAACTCAAAAAAAAAAACAATAGGAAACAATAGAGAGAAAGATTTGGCTCCGGTAAATTTCTTCCGGCTTGTAACTCATGTATGTAACTCCAGTTTATAATATAATCAAAATAGATGACATAAAAAAAAACAATAGAGAGGAAGATATTTTTTTTTTTCTATCGTGATTAATTGCCAAAAGATATCAATGAATTTGTGATGTATAAATGGAATAGCAAATTATGAATCTGAGATTTTTGCGTGTTTGGCTAATAATCTTTCTCACTATTCGAAATCAGAATTTATATATTCGGATTTAAAAACTAAAACTCTGTTTTACCATTAGGCCACCACCCATTTTATATGTTGTGATCTTCGTTTTTTTGTTCTATACCATGTTTATAATTGTCGGCTTCTTTTCAATTGATGATCTTGACACCTTATCCTTATGTAATTTATCAATATTGTGTCCAATATTACAAAATTGGGTGAAGTTGTACAGAGTTTAAACTTTTAATAACGTGCTTTCATACGAGGACTCTAAAATATACGTATAAACCAAACACATGAACACGTAACACACTAAAAACCTAAACTTCAACTAGATTTGAAAGTGACAATATAAGACATATACAGATAGAGAAGCTAAACGAACTTTTTAGTCAAACTCTCTACATGTTTTTGCTCACCAAACTCCATCGCTCTTCAATCTTCATCCTCAAAAACACCTTTAAATAGCCATTTCAATGAAAGATCAAATTTCATCACACAAAAACAAGAACCCATTACCACAAGAGCAAAAGAACCAATACAAAAGCAGAAAGATACAAACTTTGAGATAATGGCATTGAAGAAGAGTCTCTCTGCTTCTCTTCTTTCACCACTTCTGATCATATGCTTTATTGCATTGATCTCTGATCCGGTTTCAGTCGGAGCTCGCCGGTTATTGGAGGAGATTCCTAAACCGGAGATACCAAAATTGCCGGAACTACCTAAACCCGAAATGCCGAAGTTACCCGAAATTCCCAAGCCTGAGTTGCCTAAGTTACCGGAGTTGCCCAAGTTACCGGAGTTGCCGAAGATGCCGGAGATTCCGAAACCCGAATTGCCGAAGATGCCGGAGTTTCCGAAGCCCGAGGAAGCCAAATTTCCGGAGATTCCGAAACCTGAGGAATTGCCGAAGATTCCTGAGATTCCANAGCCTGAGGAATCTAAGTTGATGGAGACTCCGAAGCTTGAGGCTCCTAAGTTGCCTGAGATTCAGAAGCCGGAGTTTCCCAAGTTACCGGAGATTCAAATGCCGGAGTTGCCGAAGATGCCGGAGATTCCGAAACCCGAGTTACCAAAGATGCCTGAACTTCCCAAGTTGCCGGAATTGCCAAAACCCGAAGAAACTAAAGTGCCGACGTTTACAATGCCAAAGTTTCCCGGAACTCCTTAAGCCCATTTTACCAGAAGAAGGCCCAACTACTTTCGAGCCCAATCTATTTTTCTGAAATTATCGTATCACCCCTGTATTGTTTGTCTATTTACAGATATGTGCTTCCTTTCTATGATCTATCTAGCTCATCCTTATACCTTTCGTCTCATCCTCAAAAACACCTTTAAATATACACTTGTATTTTTAGTCGATTCTGCTACTTGTTAAGTTTAGAAATTAAATTACTCGATTATCTCAA